ATTATAAAAAAGAAAACATGGATTCTCTAAATGTGCTTGACCAATATATCTGACATAATACGTTTATTCAGAAATATAAAATACATAGCTATTTTCCAGTCTGCCCTGTTCAGTCTCTGGACTTGCAGGAAATAAATCAAAACAGATACAAAGATAGATTTAATATACTCTGTAAACAGTATTGTAAACTTTTGCAAAATTTATATTCTTTGTATCCAAATAATATGATAAAAGGATACGGCGCATAAAAGTCTATCCAAAAGCAATTTTTTTGGGGGTTTTTTTTTTGGTTGGGAAGAATGCTAGTATTTTATACCAGGTATACATGCAAGAAGTCAATTGAACTTTTCTTTTGTATTTTGTTACAAGTAGTATTTCTGAAAACAAGTTACATCACTGTGGAATCAGATAGGTCTAACAGCAGCTTCCAGAACTAATGCCAGAATCTGGGCATGTATAACAAGACATAGGCAGATGCATGATAAAGGTTTTGAAACTGGCCACACCAAAACATCCTATGGGCTGAAATGTGTCCTTCAGTCACCAGTTGAATGGTCTTCTGTGAAAAAAAGTTAAGCCTGTTTCTGGGCTCTGAGGAATCATTTAAAAGATTTTGAAAAAAGTTATCTTGGTCAGTGTCTACTAATAAGTAGATTTTGATTACTGTATTTTTGTTTGTTGAAGGATCAATTAACAGGTGGGAAAATATATGTTATGAATGACATATGGTATATATGATCCCTTGAAGAGCTTTACAGTCTTCTGTATCTGCCAAATCCAAAATATTTTTGACCATACTAAAACTGTTAGGCTTGAGTTGATTCCAGGCTTTCTTCAAGAAACTATGCTTCTTTGAAAAAATGTAAGTTCTATATAAATGGATACATTATATGTTTCAGAAGCACTGAGAAATCAGAAATCAGTAATCTCCAGGAGTTTTACCATACATTTTCAGTATTATTTTTCTCTTATTTAAATAAAAAATATCAAATCAGCTGCTCTTACTTTCAGATGGCAAGGCATGCCACTATCTAAAAAGTTTACAAATAGAAAGTTGCTCTTCCTCTGGTGACTCCTCTGAAGTCACTAAATTCATGATCTGTAGTTATTATGAAACTATCCTCTATGTGACTGATACAGAGTGAAACCAAAGACAACAGACTGGGAGGATTTGGAACTATATCCTGATATATCATTAGTGATGCCCATCATTCATAATACCCCTCCCCTCTATCATGCCCTATGCTGATCCATAATGCCTAACCTTAATTAAATTTGCTATATGGACTAAGTTGAAGAAATTATATTAAATCTTATGCAATCTCATGATCTGAGAATACTGAAAGGAAGAGATACTCTAAACAGAACAGGATTTATTTTCTTAATTTAGCAGGACAGCATTGCAAATTCATTTTGTCTGAAGGGAAAAAAAATAATGAAAGATACATTGAGTTAAAAAAACTAGACTCCACAAATACATGAAACAGTGATCTGAACAGCTTTTATGCAGCTTTTGTAGAGATCAGTTTAAAGAATAATCATGTGAGTATATGCATCCCTTTATGGAAGCTTAACATGGGAAAAAATTCTATAGATATTTAGCTTGTTTATTGTTTTTAGGGAAGTTAAGATTATGATCTATATTGCTGTGTATGAAAAGCTTTCTTCATATTTTATCCACAATTTATCAGCAAGCAGACTTTACAAAGCTGACTGTGCAAGGGTTCTTTGAATCTTGTGACCAGGGCGCAATTAATCTTGGTGTTATCTCAAAACACAGTGAAGGACTGTTGAAGATAAAGCAGGAATAAAACATGATTCCTCACAACAATGTTTTCAGCAGTATAAAGCCTAAAGAAAAAACAAGTGAGAAGGAAAAATACGAAATATTTTAGCTGTAAGCTACAGAAATGTTTCTCATACAAAATCAGTTCATCTGGACATGTGAGTAGGAATACTGAATTTCATGCTGTGATTAACATCACCTTGGTTTACCTACTTGAAATGATTTTGAGAGCTATGCATTGGATCAGGTCTATAAGAAGGACGTATGCCTCATAGTGTTCTGAGATTTTAAAGATGCTGAAAAATTGCAAAAACTGATTTGGGGTGTCTGAATAGGTTTAGATGGGAATGATGAAAAAGCATAACTCAGGCTTTGGAATCTGATATGAAACTGGCCCAAGGAGGTCAATGTAGCAAACAGCAGTATCACCAAGTTAAAAAATTAGTTGATGTTAATTTTCAAGAAGAGAATAACTGGCACACAGCTAAAACACTCTTCTAGTTAAAATAATATTAAAGAAATTAAACAGGCATCACTGCAAGAATTCCAGTTTTCAGCCTATGTTACATCTGTCTCAGAGCCTATGGAATCTTCAGAATCTATATAATTTCCAGTTTTTTAAAATGTACTTTGGTTTGTGAATATTTGTTTCTACACTTTTTTCATAATACATTTGCTGTACAGAAAAACAATGATTCCAAATTTTCAGTCATTTATTGTTTTCCTCCTTTCAGCAGTACATGAACAGAGCTGAACTGGGACAGAATAAAGTTCCACTTATTAAAGAATTACAGATTTATTAATAAAAATTATTGCTGTGTATTGAAAATGATTGGAATGAAACCTTGTTGCTTAATTGTAAAATGCCATGCTTATCAACATTCTCTAAACAGGAATAAGACGATGAAGTTAAAACACAGGGGAGAGCTGTGGATGTTGTCTACCTAGACTTCAGCAAGGCTTTTGACACAGTTTCCCAAAACATCCTCCTAGGGAAGCTCAGGAATTGTGGGCTGGATGAGTGGTCAGTGAGATGGATTGAGAACTGGCTGAATGGCAGAACTCAGAGGGTTGTCATCAGTGGCACTGAGTCTAGTTGGAGGCTGGTAACAAGTGGTGTCCCCCAGGGGTCAGTACTGGGCCCAGTCTTGTTTAACTTCTTCATCAATGTCCTGGATGAAGAGTTAGAATGTACCCTCAGCAAGTTTGCTGACGACACCAAACGGGGAGGTGTGGTAGATACACCAGAAGGCTGTGCTGCCATTCAGCGTGACCTGGATAGGCTGGAAAGCTGGGCAGAGAGGAACCTGATGAGGTTCAACAAGGGCAAGTGCAGGGTCCTGCACCTGGGGAGGAACAACCTCATGCACCAGTACAGGCTTGGGGTGGACCTGCTGGAGAGCAGAGAGGGACCTGGGTGTCCTGGTGGACGACAGGTTAACCATGAGCCAGCAGTGTGCCCTGGCTGCCAAGAAAGCCAATGGGATCCTGGGGTGCATCAAGAAGAGTGTGGCCAGCAGGACGAGGGAGGTTCTCCTTCCCCTCTACACTACCCTGGTGAGGCCTCATCTGGAGTACTGTGTCCAGTTCTGGGCTCCCCAGTTCAAGAAAGATGAAGAGCTACTGGAGAGAGTCCAGCGGAGGGCTACAAGGATGGTGAGGGGACTGGAGCATCTCCACTACGAGGAGAGGTTGAGGGAACTGGGCTTGTTCAGCCTGAAGAAGAGAAGGCTGCGAGGGGACCTTATAAATGCCTACAAATATCTGAAGGGTGGGTGTCAGGAGGATGGGGCCAAGCTCTTTTCAGTGGTGCCCAGCAACAGGACAAGGGGCAACGGGCACAAACTGAGGCACAGGAAGTTCCGTCTGAACCTGAGGAAGAACTTCTTCACTCTGAGGGTGACGGAGCCCTGGCCCAGGCTGCCCAGGGAGTCTGTGGAGTCTCCTTCTCTGGAGATATTCAAGACCTGCCTGGACAAGGTCCTGTGCAGCCTGCTGTAGGTGACCCTGCTTTGGCAGGGGAGTTGGACTAGATAACCCACAGAGGTCCCTTCCAACTCCTACCATTCTGTGATTCTGTGAAAAGAAATGTTTTCCTTTAAATAGAAAATACGAGTGTATGCCTTAAAAATTTTCATGATAGACAAATATCTGACTAAAGTTAGTCAGATAATGATAATGCTGATGTGCCAATGAAACCTAAGAGAAATAAAAATCTAAGTTGTAACATGCTGGAAAATATTGATCTTAGCAAAAATTCCTGATTAAGATATTTTCTGTATCTACTTTTGACTGTACTTTGGTGATATTTATTTTAATAATCTAGAATATTTTCTATTCAAAACATTACATTTTTTAACATCTATTTGTAGCTCAGCCTCCCAAGAGCACTGGGGACCATGGACAGCTCCACCACGAGTCAGTGTGTCACAGCAGCAACACGCCAGGAAAACTCAAGACGGCCGTTGATTTCTGACAAACCTTTCTGCTTTCAGTTTATAGCAGGACTGGATTGGTTTTTCCAAATACATAATTGTGGTGGTCATCCTAAGTTCTTCATAAACAGAATTTGGCTACTCAGGGCAGCAGACAGAAAGGTGTTAAGTATGTCTGGCTAAACTCAGCTTTCACCTATATGTACACAAGTTGTCCCACCATAGCAGAATGCAGTTCTTGAGTATCCTTTCAAGGTTACTATTATACTAAGGAGAGAAGTAAGGCAAGGAAGAAAATCTGAGTATGTGTTGTGTGCTAAACTACATATCTAATGATGCAATGTTACAATTGTGCTGTAGTAGTTCTGACTTTTTAAAAAGCTTTTACAGCAGAATGTTCTGTAGTGTGAAATACTTACAAATTTCTCATCCCTTTTACTTCAAGCATTTGTTTATAGTACTAACATAAGTTTGAGCACAACCATGTTTTCCCAAGTTACACCTATTGTTTCTAAATCTGTTTTAGACTTTCCTCCATAGTTGCCAAATATTTTAAAAATAAAGAAGAGGTAGTCTGCGGTGAAATGTATTGTATCAAAATAAGTGAATTAAGATCCCTGAAATTTCATGGTCAGGTAAGATGGACAGTCACCAAACAAAACAAAACTTGTTTCTAAAAGCAGATTTTTGCTCATTGATAGGCATAATAACGTGTTTGGTGTGCTTTTCACAGTTGTGCTGAAACACTGTTGTTGACACTGTTGTTTCTTTTCCTACAGAGTCGAATGGCAGAAAGTTTGCGTCTCTTTGATTCCATCTGCAACAACAATTGGTTTATCAACACTTCCCTCATCCTTTTTTTGAATAAGAAAGATCTGCTGGCAGAAAAAATTCGACGCATTCCCTTAACAGTCTGCTTTCCTGAATACAAAGGCCAAAACACTTACGAGGAGGCAGCAGTCTACATCCAACGCCAGTTTGAGGACTTGAATCGCAACAAGGAGACCAAGGAGATCTACTCACACTTCACCTGCGCCACTGATACCAGTAACATACAATTTGTCTTTGATGCAGTGACAGATGTCATAATTCAGAACAATCTCAAATATATTGGCCTCTGCTAAGAATCCTTGGGCTTAATCTGTTTTCCTGAAGTGATAAAAAAGGGGCTAACCACTTCCACATCTAGTGGAAAAAAATTGGGCAGTGCTTGGTAGCCCAAGGAGAGAAAAGGGGAAATCTGATGTATGTACACAGTTCCTCTTATGCCCCCTTAACTTGCTACATCATTTTTAAAAAATGTATGTTCTGGAGAGTGAAAGCCTCCTCTCCAAAAAAAAACCCCATCCTCCCCAGCCAACCCCCCCCCCCACCCCCTAACTCTGTGGAGATGTTTTCACCACAGTCATTGCACTTTTATTCCATTTGTTTCATTCCATTTCCTACAGTGGGAGTGTTATCATGTTCTGTGTAAGAAATAATTCTTCATCCAGTTGTCCTAAAATTTTACTGACATGAAGATATAAAGCTGGTGAGTGACAGATGAACTTGATTGCAGGGTGTGGAGCAGAATGGTTGTGTTGGGCAGAAAAGCTAGTTCAAACCAGAAGCTACAGAATAGGAGAGTTTAAGCAAAACACTACTTAAATTTCTAGAGAATGGGCATGTACCCACAATTTTGGTACACACAGCTGAACGGTATATACACATACATCATGTATGCACATGACTCACAGCATATACTATGTACACACTTCTGCTTTACTGCACTGTTTATCATGGACACCTTGCCTGTTAAAGGAATTGTTGGTGCACAACTGTTCTGTGATTTCCAAACTCACTAGCAGCTCTTTCTGCTCTTTAAGGCTTCAAATATGCAGCAAAACTACATGAAATCAATCTATGAATAGGCCAAAATAAGGTCAGTGTTTCTTCTACTGGTAAGGAGTTTTATACATCGAAACAGTCTTCTTTTACATCTTTTTTTGCCAAATCTTGTGGTGTTTCACAAAAAACAAACTATATTTAAGAAGTAGGTTAGTGTTCCTTTTTTAATACAGATTAAATAATAAATCACAAGACAATTTTTTAAATTATTGTTGTAGTGTCTGGATTGCTGAATGTGAAAGTTGCCAATGGACAATTCTGTTCCACTGCTCCAAATACATTCTGGGAATTGTAATGTTGTAACAGATTTCCCAAGAAGCAGGAGCCATGGAGATTGTGTAGTATATAGCCTCCAAAGTCTTATTTGTTGTTTTTTTTTAATTATTTTAAAAATGTGATGTATTAATAGAAGGTTAAAGATGAGCGATATGAACAATAACTAAATGTCTTGATATTTCAATTTAAGAATTTAAATTATTTACAGCTTAGTGGAGTTAAGAAAACTGAAGAGATGCATTCCTCAGCTCCAGGTTTCATCTCATAAAGAAACACTACTGGATAGAGTAACATTCCGGCAAAAGTTTGAATGCATAAGAAGCTCTGTGGGACTATACTGGAAAATCTCAAATGGATCATATAGACCTAAGCCTTTGGTCAGTTGATTCTTTCCCCTGCCATAGAAAAGACTTCTTAAAGACTTCAGTGTAAAGTTGGTGTGTAAATATATGTTTGATAATTGTAAAGCACATACATACACAGAGACATAGACACACGTGCACACTGGAAAATAACCTTCTACTTTTGTTCCCCCTATGTACTATGATTAGTGCAAGAAATCTCAGCCAAGGGCTCTAATAAATTTAAAAGAAAATGGTTAATAATATGAACATTTAAATTGTCCACTTAAAAAATAAATAATTCAAATGATACTGAACATGTCTATAGTGTGTTCATTAATTAGTGTTATGACAGTTACTTAACTGGATAACATTTGTGAAGTTTTCTTTCCTTTATAAGACTGCTGAGTTTTGTTTATTTGTTCCAGATCTTTTTCCTCAGTTTAGTCACCAACATTCAGCAAATTTCAATCTTAAGCAATTACATTTGAGCAACTCAGTATGATTTAAGGAATGTGTTCCCATTTAATATCTACAAATTCTGAATGCATGTTATTGTTATATTTTTGGGCGAGATGGGTAGTAGCAATTTTAGGAAAGAAGTTATAGATCAAGATCTATGGGAAATATCATGGAAGAAACTTGCATGTTATCTGCAAGATACATAAGAAGCCTACTTGCATATTGTGTTACACAAGCAGGTACTTTGCACAGATGTCTGTGCTTAGAAATACATGTCTAGGAATAAGCACATATATAAATTCTTGAATAATGCCTGAAGCTGGTCTCCTAAACCTGTATTTAAAGATTGAAAAAAAAACCTGAAAAATATGTTCCCATTTTTGTACTATTGAGTTCTCAGCAACTGCCCAAAATCAATACAAAATTCGGTCTGGCTCATGCTTGTGAAAATTTAGGATTTAAGAAAAAGCTACATTTTTTTTTAAAGTAACTATATAAGGTCATCTATCAGCATAAGTCTTATTGATAGTTTTTCATTGAAGTTTTCTTGAAAATTTCATCCATTCGGACTATAACAAGGTTCTTTCAGGCCATCCTCTAACTGAAATCTTTAAAAGTCTGGATGTACATTAAGAAAGGTGTGACTCTTGTACAAACAGCATAAACTCATAAAAATCACTTGCTGGAGGATGCGAGACAAATAATATCCCTGGAATTTAAACAGAATTTGACTTAGAACCCTTCACCCCGTTAATCATTTCTGAGACCAGCTGAAAATATTTGATAGTGCTTCCTTCATTTGCTTCTCAGCATTTTTACAAAATGCATCAAAAAGTCCCAGTCTTCCTTACCTTATGTTTAAGAATCCTTCTTTTGACCCGTTTGAGGATATCTAAATTCAAGCTAGGATTTTTCTAAGTGATCTGGAGACTTAGGCTAATGATCAGCTGGGACTGCCAAGAGAACTACAATAATCTTGAATGCAGTGCTTCATGCAACAATCATTTTCAAACTTGCTAGAGGATGCAACCATAACCAAAAATACTCTGAGGCTCGAGTAATGGGTTAAGACTTTCAAAACCATTCAGTCCAGACACAATCAATAATGGAGAAGAATCTGTCTCATTTTGAAGGAGGTATTTTATCTCTCTACTGAAGACATTGGGCCCCTTTAAGCATGCCGTGTCAACTGTTACACCTGAAGGACAGAGGCAAAAGAGCCAATGAGGCTGCGCCTTGAAGGTATAAAAGGTGTTATGCCATGCAAGGAGTATTTAGGTCTTACTTGTAATGAGAAGATACTACTGCCTGCTTGTGATGTTTGCAGTCAAGCTGCTAGACCTGGTGAGTTTACTAAAAGATATATATGGTAATTGCTAGTACACTCCATAGAGCTAGTACAGGATCCTCTAAACTTTGTTCACATCAAAGTGCTATCATTTGCTTGAGAAGTTGCACAGTATTTCTAGTCTAAATTGCTTTCTATAGTGTAATACCCTATTGTTAGCCAGCTGAATTGTGAAAAAGGTATATAAGGAGTCAGGGCTTCCTTTTCCAAAGAAGGGACTATTAGATGGTATGCCTCCTTCACCTCTAGCTTTCATGGCACTGTGGCCATTTCAGGCTAGCGAAAGAAGTGACAAGAAAACACCAGCATTCATTAAAGCATCGCTTCATGGTAAGAAAATTAAAACCAAAAGTGTAGTCAATTATGAGGAAGGTAAGAGACATTTTTCTATTAAAAAATAAATATTTATTCAACTAAGAAGGTTCTTCCAATGTAAGTATTACAGGCAACCTACAATAGAAGTGGAGAGCCTAGGATATTTCAACAAATGCCTAAGGGTATTTCTAAAGAAAATGAGTTGGTTACATTTCTCATTGAATGAAGGCTATCTCGAGAAGGAGAAAAGAAATTGAAGGGCTGCCACGTGTTCCTACTTAACTTAAGAAAAGCATAGGCATGGGGAGAAAAAAGCAGTAAATAACTAAGTTCAAATACTCAATTCACATAATCATGTCCTCTGAATAACAATTCCTTGCTATCAATCATTTAATTCCTACGATGTCTTTGATCTTAGTATTCTGAGAAACTCTGTTTCGTCTCTGAAGAATTTGAGATTTTAAAATAAGTTCTGTTTTACACATAAGTAATTCTGTTTTCTGATGTCTAAGAAAACTGAGGCACAGGGAAGTTAAAACTAAAAAGTCTGGGCCAAAGACAGGTGCTGAAATGAAATCCCTTGACTCCTCGTCATCTACCTGGATAAATCATGCAATTAAAATTGCATCTATTTTCTCAGTTCTCAGGTTTGTCAGTGATGCAGCACACTGCCACCTGAAAGAACTGCATTAATACAGCTGGGATTTCACTTCACCTGGGCAACAATGACATTCATGGAAGAGATGGTCCATCTGCTGCAATAAGAATGCCATCTGTCCTTTTATCATTTGCACTCCATACAGCAAAACAAGTTTCAAAGGGAAAAAGGTATCCTTAAACAGTCCTTATCCACAGATATGATTGGTTACGATTTTCCAAGGGTGGAATAGTGGAGACACTGAGGGTCAGTAAAGTAGGAGAAATACTATCTCTTGGACTCTTCCCAAATAGAGGTTCTAGCAAGCTTAAAAATCCATTGCCCCATCCAATCCACCTCAATCTGTCTAAAAGGATCAAGTACCCATAAAAGACAGGATAGATAATGAGTAAAAATTATTAAAATTTTCCAGTATTAACCATACCCTAGTAAAAGATTTTTTTCCTAGAAATATTTCTGCAGCTGTTATTTTCGTTTATCATTGCATAACACTCTTT